TTCTTTTTTTTTTTTTGTCTTCTTAATTTGAGGATTTAGCATTCCAGTTGTCATGTTTGATGCTTTCTGAAGTAAATCTCTTAGGAAAAAAAACTGGTTTTTGACTCTAGATTTTGTTTACAGCATTATATATTATTTAAACACTATGTCACTGAAACTTTCAAATCCCAAGCTTAATTAGAAATATACAACACTTTAAAAGCTTACAAATTTTGCATTTTTAAATTATCTTCATCATATCACAAATTATATGACAGCTTATATCACAGCTCATATGAGAAGATACTGATCCTGGGTTGAATAGCTGAAGAGGGCAATTAGCTTTACACTGCACCTATCTTCATCTAGCCATCTGGAAAATGTAAGCTGTGGCCACACAGGGGACAGACAGAGAAGGAGACTAAATTCTAAAATTCAAACTCCAATTCCTGATTACTCACAACGTGTACATATGGATCAGAAACATCAAAATGAAAACATATTGTGGATGCCAAAGTCAAGTCTTGGTTTCTAAAAATGTTCAGGATGGGATTTGGATGTTTTTAAACCTGTCCTCCCCACACTAAATCTCCTTAATCTAGTATTTGATCTTTGCTGGGAGCCCCAAGGAGCCATTCCATGCGTCTATGTGTTTATTCTCCATAATATATGCCTACTACTTCTCACTTGTCACTACATCTTCATTGTAATTCCTTTTTCCCTGTATTAATGTATCTAAACTTATCAGCTTATGCTTATTGTACAAGACCCCAGTTTTAAAGTTAGAAATAGAATGCTTGAGCATATCCTAGGATTCCATGTGTTTTAAATACTATGACAGTAAAATCCAATGTGTGACTTAAATAAAACAGAAGCTTATACTAGAGTCTGTCATTTTTTTTCTAATCAATCGATTTCACCTTTATATTTTAAATGAAGTACAGGGTTGCTCTCTGGTGCTAACTAGTTGTACTCTATTTCACATTTATACTTTGAATGGGGTACATGGTTGTACTCTGGTCATAGCTGCTAACTAGCTGTGTGACCTTGAATACATTTCTTAGCTAACTAGAGGTTTGATTTTCTCATACAAAATATGTTTATTATCTGTCCTGGGTTGTAAGGTTCAAGTGATAAGTGGATGTAAAAGTCCTTAGAAATACAGTATGACATTTATTATTCCAGGACTAATTTTCATATTGCTATAATAAAGGGCTTGTTCTAGATTACCATACGGTATCTTCTGTCTCTAAAAATCTTTGAATCTTCATAAATATCATGGTATAAGACAGCATGATCTATTTAGAGGTGCTTTTCTTTAAAAACCTGTTTCACTTACTTTTGAAGCACTATGTGCTGCCAAATCGTGTTCTTAAATGTTTTAAAAAGTATGATAATAAAGCAAACCTATTTCATAATAGAACTCAAAGTTGAGAAAATATGAACAAACTTTCAAAAGGGCAGCAAAGGTTAAAACCTTTAAAATTATAATCAAGGGAACAGAGGCTTGTTGTATAAAATAATCTATCTTGAATTTTTGATGGAGATGACAGTGACTTGTTGCCTAACCTATAGAAGTAAATGCAGTTGACATATGGCAAAAAGAAAAAATTTCTAAAGCATTTTGAGATTCTCAACAAAAGCACCACTTATGTTTTCATGTTAAGAAACATACATGTCATAAACTGGTAACCCTGGATGCTATCCACTTAAATATTTTGTTGGTTTACAGGTATTTAAAAAGTATTTGAGCCGATGTTTAAAAATCAGGAAATTTCACGAAAAATCCAAATTTTAGCTCCACTTGACAAATCTGGCAACATCAAGCCTACATTTCAATATGGCAAAATTTGGCTAGGGCTGGGAAGTGATGCTTCACTTAGGTAAGCACATGCTCTGGAATTCTCCAGTCCTTCCTACTGCCTATTGTTTCCTCTTACTACTTGCCCATCCATTGTACGCATTTGACTTTGCAACTACAGTAAAACACAGAGCCACTGTGAACATATGCCAAGCTAATTTTATTAATGGGCATTGAGATACAAAAATACAATCTCTGGGAACTGAAGGAGTAGTCAGGAGCAATCATGGCCATGGACTGTAAAGGATACTTTATGTAAAGAATATTTTTCTTCTGTGAATATTTATTAAGTTGGGTTCCTTAAAGTAAATTCAACCTGCCTACTGTGGGGGTTCTGAGTGGGGGTGGTGACAATGGTAGAATAACAAAATTTTTATCTTTTGTCTTATCCAAGACTTGTGGTTAACTGATAGGTGAATTTTCAAAAACATACTAGATTTCTGAATGTAAATATAAGAAAAAGGTGAAAAGGGAAGCCTAGAAAGAATGCATTTTTCAGCAAACATAAAGTAGTAATACTCACTCAAGCAACTGCCCACATGCTAGCAGAATGCTTAATTTGGATTGATAACGTTTATCTGGAGATGCCAAGTAACATCATATGTCATATACTGGAGACTACAGTAGATTCTACTGTTTTGCTATCTGGCATCTGCTGGTAGAAAAATGTTCCAACATGTTCGATTTAGCTAATTAATTCAAGCTCATGTGAATAAAATGTGTGGTGTCTAGCTTCTGAAATGTGCCTAGGCCTAAGAACGGGAATTCTTCTTGGGTGAACTTGGATGATGCCACTGGCTCTGGGAAAATCCAGTAGCAGACACTACTATTAAGTTAGTAATGATACATCCTACTCACGTAAAATGTCTTTTTCTAATAACCCTTCCTATTTCAAAATTCAATACTAGACAGTGGTCCTAAAAATGTTAGCTATTAACCTTTTTTTTTTTTTGAGACGGAGTCTCGCTCTGTCACCCAGGCTGGAGTGCAGTGGCCAGATCTCAGCTCACTGCAAGCTCCGCCTCCCGGGTTCCCGCCATTCTCCTGCTTCAGCCTCCCGAGTAGCTGGGACCACAGGCGCCGCCACCTCGCCCGGCTAATTTTTTGTGTTTTTAGTAGAGACGGGGTTTCGCCGTGTTAGCCAGGATGGTCTCGATCTCCTGACCTCGTGATCCACCCGTCTCAGCCTCCCAAAGTGCTGGGATTACAGGCTTGAGCCACCGCGCCTGGCCAGCTATTAACCTTTTAAAAAAGTATTTGCTCACACCTGAGATATTTAGTTAGCTATTTCAACAGTGTGCAAGGAAAGAGAAAAGTTGTTTGATACTCTACAGAGTGCTTCTCAAAGCCCAGTCCCCAAATCATCTGCATCAAAACTCCCTGTACAATTATTAAAAATACAGATTTTTCTGGAGCTCTCCAGAAATCAGAATTGCTGAATCAGAATACTTTTTCTTTCTTTTTTTTTTAGACAGGATCTCACTCTGTTGCTCAGGTTAGAGTGCAGTCATGTGATCATGGCTCACCACAGCCTTGACCTTCTGGGCTCAAGTGATCCTCCAGCCTCAGCCTCCCAAGTAGCTGTGACTACAGGCACATGCCACCCTGCCCGGCTAATATTTTGTATTTTTTGAGACAGGGTGGCCTCAAACTCCTGGGCTCAAGTGATCTGCCCACCTGAGCTTCCCAAATTGTTAGGAGTACAGGCATAATCCACGGCAGCTGGACCCTAACTTTTAATCAAGTCCCCCACATTAAACTTAAGAGAACTACTGCCATTGATGCATTCCTTCACTCACTAAATAGTCAATGTCAATATGTGCCCGAATTCAATACGTCCCCTAACTGGACTGCTTTAGAAGTTATTAACTACCATACACTGACTGCACTCCATGTGCTATATAAACTGAGGTAAAGCACTTTATATATATTTGAATTAATTCTGTACAACAATCCCTAACGGTTTTAAGGCTCTTTTTTAAAAATGTTACTTATTTTTTTCTTTTTCGAGACAGGGTCTTGCTCTGTTGCCCAGGCTGGAGTGCAGTGCCGTGATCTTGGCTCGCTGCAACCTCTGCCTCCCAAGCTCAAGCGTTTCTGATGCCTCAGCCTCTTGAGTAGCTGGGACTACAGGTGTGTGAGACCAAACCCGGCCAATTTCTGCATTTTTAGTAGAGACAGGGTTTTGCCATGTTGGCCAGGCTGGTCTCAAACTCCAGGCTTCAAGTGATACACCTGCCTCAGCATCCCAAAGTGCTGGGATTATAGGTGTGAGCCACACCTGGCAAGGCACCGTTTAATAGATAATAGAGTGAGTAGACTGTCCAAGGTCATCCAGTTATTGAATAGTCTTATTCCTGAAACCCAGGTCTGATGCTAAAACCTGTGATCTTAATTGGTATATTATTTTGCCTCACTTAAATCTGGAGTATTCCCACACAAGCAAATTCCCTTCTACCCAAAGGAAGCAACTAATGGAACGCATTACGTAATTTTCAATATGATGGCTAAAAACATTCTATACCAATCTAAGAGATTCTGTCCTCCCAGAGCATTTTCTTCTGCTCCCTTATGTGCAGTTTTTTCCTTTCACTTATCTTTCATAATCAAATATAAGTCTAGGCTAGGAGTATATGAGGTTGGCAGTCTTGAGAATTTTCCTTTTGTGATTATGAAGTAAATTCCACAAACACTTATCTATCCATTAGACAGAGGATGTATCTAATGTACTAAGTATAATCTTGATTTTGTAATTTTTAATAGGCTCTGCTTAATGCTACCAAAAAGCTATCACAAAAACACCAGGACCAATTAAGACTTGCATGAGAATTTCAGTGAGAAAAATAACAATGCCTAAATTGGAATGTGACCAGATGGCCAACAGTTGCCTTGGTATTTGCTTTGATAACATCAAGATTCATCTGTATTTGAATAGCAGGGCCCACACATCTTCCAACAATGTCTGCAGGGTGCCAGGAGTTGAAACTCATAAACTATGCTGACATCAGTACACTTTACTGCAGAAATACATTGCATCAGCTCCAAGAATAGGCAAAGTAGCAGCAACACTTTATTAAAGGTAGTCAGTCTATGTTGCCAACCCAAGGCACTAACACATACTCTATACACACATGATTAAATGCTACCCTCCTCTTTGTAGGACACCGGAGAGGGGTAAGCATGCTGAGAAGTGAGATGGATTTAACCAGCAAATCATGGAAAAGGTGCGTATACTTGGCGTTTGAGAAGGCTTAGTCATGACTGGAAAAGTATGAACACTGTGACATATCCTTGCAAAAAAAAAAAATGTTCAACTTAAGCCTCTAGACTAATTTCTGGTTTACAAGAAGAAAAAAGGGGGGCCCATTTCCAAAAAGACTCCTGGCTTGAACTCTTCAAAATGCCAATGTCACAGGGGGAAAAAGATGGGGGAACTCCACTACATTAAAGCTGAAGAAAAATTTTGACTGGATCCTGATTTCTTTTTTTTGCAAGAATGGGAAGGAGAAGGTATAAAGGATATTCCTGGGTAAATTAGGAAAATTAGCACTTGGGCTAGATTTTAAACATTACAAAACAGCTGTAATAATGATATTGTGTTTTGCTAGAGAACTTCAAAATTCTCAGGAAATTCATGCTCAAAGTCTTAAGGGTGTCTGCCTAACAATAAGTGTCTGCAACTTTTTACAACAATGAAAAAATGAGGAGGAATGAAAAAAATATGGCAAAATGTTAACTGCTGCATCTAGATGACGGGTATATGAATATTCATTAAATTATTTAATTCTTTCAGCTTTTAAATATATGAACACTTTCATAATAAAACATTGGGGAAAAAAATCATGTCAGAAAGACTTCACAGGGGAAACGTCAAAAAAGGCTGAGTAGCAGGCGCTCAGTTGAATTTCTGATAAATTGAAGATCTCTAAAACTTGGCTGGAACTGTCTTGGGCATCCAAGAGACACCCGAGATATTCAAACTTTCAGTAAGTATTTACCAAAATAATATCATGTGCAGGGTGAAAATGACAGGAAGACGAATCTGATACAAACCATGCTATTTAGGTGCAGACATGGTAGTGAAGTTAAAAACATAAGCGGCTATTATATATATATAACATACTGATTGTCATAAAAGACGTGCAAAAAATGCTAAACTCAGGGGAATTACTTTCTGCTGGGGAGAATATGGAAACACATCTCCGCGAATAACAGAATCAGACAGAATCACAAAAGGTGAGTGCTACAACAGATTTCAGTAATTAACCGCCAAGAAACAAGAGTAGTTCATTTTGGCTGGCGTGTAAGTACCAGGGAAGTAGAAATTAAGTCGAGAAGGTAGGTTTTGTTGACTGGCTGGATATTAACAATTTTCAATTTTACCTGAAAGTTCTGGTCTTTTTGCTGCAGCTTTAAGCATCCAACCCGGTATTACCAAGATGACTGAGAGTTCTTGACTCAAGCATACAGAAGAAACTACAAGATAATGTATGATAACTTTGTAAAGGGCCATATTAAAGCAATACAGTATTTTCAAAAATATTCAACACGTTAAGAATCTGTAGACCTGCAGGATTAGGATAGTATATCCCACCACAAGAACCGCAGTCAAAGCTTACAAAGGACAAACGCGGAAAGGGGGGAAAACTCAGAATGAGAAGGCAGGTGGCAGGGGAAAAAGACAGAGGTCTTGCCCTGATTGTAGGGGCTCATCTTTTTCTTTTATAGCTGAAGGTGGAAAATTATTTTCTCAAGTTCCCGAATTCTCTTCCCTCTAAAGGCCAGAGAGTGAAAGTACTTAATAGGAACTTGCGGAGGCGTGGTCAGGAGCTCCATTTTGCCGGAGTTAGGAGCTCCGCCCGAGGTCCGCGCCCATTCCCCGCTGGGGCCCTCCCAGCCAGCCTGGCTCTGGCTGGGCTAGGGCGGCCTGTAGCGCTGCCTCACCCCACAGGGAGCCTCAGGGGGGCGGAGGGAGGGCGGGCCGCCGCTAGGCCAGCCCGGAAAGAAAAGCAGCTTCTAACGGAAGGGGCCCTGAGCCCCGCTCTCCATTTCAGCGCTCCGTCCCACAGGGACCGTCCGGCTCGGGTCCGGCCCACTTGTTGGGGCCCAGGGACTCACCTCACTTTGCAACTGAGGTCAAGAATGGGCATTCCCTAGGGCACGGGCGGCGAGGCTATTTACCCCCTTACCCCCTTCCGCCATGACCCTATTCGGAAGTGCCAAATGCAACTTCCGGGCAGGAGAGGGATTTTCGGAGCCCTAAACTATAGTCCATCTACGTATGTGACCAGATGTCTCAGTAAAATAAGGGCCGGGAAACTGGACGTGTAGTCCAGAGTATGAATTAACTTGTCTAACATGGGATGTCTGGTCACCCACGGTACCTCTTTGGGCTTACTTACAGATGCATCCCTTCCCAGACTGCTCAGCTGTTGCCCCGGGTAACGGTGAGACTGGCGAAGGAAAAAAATCTACGTCACCCTGGAAACAGGAAGCCAGGAAACTCCTGTTGCCATTATCAGTTATGGCCGCCTTAGCTTCAACAGTAACTTCCGATCGGAGAGTTGTCACTCTACCCTGCAGGAGGCTTACTCTGTAGCCCGGCTAGCCAGCGGCGCCCAGTGGGCGGGAGACGGCGTAGAGGAACTGAGGAAAGGAAAAGGGCGGAGAGAGAGAAGCAGGCGCCACTGCCCTTCTCTGATTGGGCAGCTTCGCTTGCCCCGGCTCCGCCCATTTTTCTTGCCTAGCGAGTGACGGGCCCACGCCGGAGGGGTGGGGCGGGGAGGCTGGAGCGAGAGTAGTGGAGGGGCGGGTGGGGCGGGGCGAGTGGGGGAGGGGCGGGCGGGGGGCGGCGGTTGGGCAGCGTCGCTTCTTAGGAGGAGGAGGAGGAAGAGGAGGAAGCAGGGCGAGCGAGGAGGATGGCGGAGTCGGGGCTCCTGACGGTAACCCGGGGCCGATGAGGCGGAGGGTGTCTGTGGGTCGGTTCTTCCTGCCTGCCTTCCTGTCCGTCGGGCTGTCGGGCTGGCTGTCGGTAGGGGGAGGCCCCGCGCGCCCTGACAGGCGCGAGCCGGCAACGCCGGGGCGAGGCCCGAGGGGCCGGGGCCCTGGGAGGCGCCGCCGCCGCCGCTTTCCTGGGTGCTGTCTCCGGGAGTGCGGGGCCCTCGGAGCCTGCTCGCGTGGGAGCCCGCAGCTCGGCGCGGAGAGGAAGGCGGTCGGGTCTGACAGCGGCCGGGGCCGGGCCTGCGGCGGCGGCGGGCGGCCAGGACAGCGCCTGGGCGAGGGCGAGCCGGCGCGAGGGCGCGGGCCGGGGGCGCCCGGCGGACAGTCTCGCTCTTCTCGGTTCCCGGGGGGCCCGGGCCCAGTCCGCAGGGCGCCCAAGTCGTGTAAATCGTTGGCGAGGGCCCGGGCGCAGCGGCGGTCATACAGGGTGGGGTCTCTTCGCGCCCCCTCCCTAGAGCCCACCTTGCTTTCCCGTTCTCCTCTCCCTGAAAACCCTTTGAGTGAAGAGTGCTGGATCGGCTCTGGGTGTGTTGCCTGGCGAAGCGAGTTGTAGCCCTTCGAGACCGCCTCGTAGAACATGCCGGATGGCAACCTCTCCCCGTGATAGCACAGCTTTTAGGGAGAGAGGAAAAGTAGTCTCACTCTCCCCCGACTCCCCCAGGCTTATAACACAAGAGGCTTCGGGGCAAGACGATTTTTTCCCCCAGCCCCTCAGTATCCATTGTTTTTGTACCATCCCCCTCCCCCCATGCCTAGGTGGAAGAGTAATGACTCCAAAGCATTAATTTGCCTTTCTTTCTCTTTATTTCTTTTCTTTCTTTTTCCTCTTTCTTTGTTTTTCTCTTCTTCCCTCCTTTCTTTCAGCAGGCAGTTTGTGTTATTGTGGAATTATGGATTTACAAACAGGTGGGATAAATACCGATTAGGGAGCTAGAAAGAAGATGCTTTGTGTGTGTGTTTAAGCCCTTATAGTTGGCTGTTTAATTTTCTTGTCTGTTGCTTTGTATCGTAATGGGGGTGATGAGAATAAAAGAGGAAGCACTGTTTTGCAACCTACCCAAAGAAATATTTTCGAAGTCTCTGGGGATGCTGAAGCAAAATTAGGTTGCAAATGTGGACTGTATAGTATTTGCCTCCAGCGTGATAACTACCAGCAGTGTCTAGGCTTACACCTGTGTCATTTCGTATACTTTTCGTCGATACCGAGTGCGTCTAGTTTCTAGTCAAGAGGGACTACTATATCAAAAGCTTTTTGTTATGTTTTTCTGAATCCTAAGGTACACTTGTGTAACCAAGTGTTTTTTGTAACTAAATGCAGCAAAAACTGAAAACTAGTTTTAATTTTAAAGACCTCAGTTTATTAGTGTACTTACTAATCTTTACTCTCATCCTCCATGCCATGGGCTGTAGAACTGTTACTGTGTACTTGAAGAGACTTAGCTATGTCATCCAATTTGTAACATTCAGTAAGGTTATATTTATAATTTGAATTTATCAAGTGTTGATGTTTTGCTATGTGACAGTGAAAAGAATTTTAGGAGTAAAGCATGCAAATGACCATTCTCATATGAAACTTAAATTGAGTATGATAAACCTTTTATCTATTTGGACATAAAGTATACTGTAAACTTTTTATGTAATTATAAATACCCATTTGAAAAATAGACAAAAATAAAGACAAAACTAAATAAAAGCTTTGTCTAAGATTTGTAACTTTCAAATGGCTGCAATTTAATATAAAGCCAACATATAAAACAATATTGAAATCCCAGTTTCAAATTATGGACAAGTCTTTAAGGGTACGGCATTTTCCCAAGGTGCTTGTTCAGTTTTATTTTTAGTTTTTAATTTTTATGGGTACATAGTAGGTGTTTATGGGTTATATGAGATATTTTGATACAGGCATACAATGCATAATCACATTAGAGTAAATGAGGTATCCCATCATCTCAAGCATCTACCCTTTGTGATGCAAATATCCAATTATACTCTTAGTTATTTTAAAATGTACAATTAAATATATTGAGCATGGTCACCCTGTTGTGCTATCAAATACTAGATCGTATTCTTTGTGTTTTTTATATCCGTTAACCATCCCCACATTCCCCCTTCAGTTTTTGAAGAAACAGCTACATTAAAAGTTGACATTTCTGATTACTCATTATTAATATAATTTTTAAGTTTAAAAATTTTCTCATAAATTATTATGGATTAAAGAGTGATATTAAAATATACATTAGTAGTTTGCAGCTAGATCTTTTTTTTTTAGTTTTTAAACTACCGTATTCAGAAAGTTCATCAGAAAGATCAGAAAAACATCATCAGAGGTGTTTTTCTGGTAGTTGTAGCAAGTAAAGGTCATGCATCAACTTGTGAACTACAAGCCAGTTGGAAATTTGAAACATTTCATGTTTAAATAGAAACATGAAAATTACAAATTCCTATGTCATACTGGCTGGAATTAGGCTTTTAAAATGATACTATTTTTTTTCTGTGACTTGGGTCAGGGAAGAATGACTTTTCTCTCTCCACATCAGAGAGACATAAACTGGAATTGTATGTGGAATATTTCCAAAGATGGTTTCCGAATAGTGGTTGGTATAGTTATTGCTTTGACTTACCTGTATGAATTATGGAGGATGAGTGAATAAAGCTGAAATTCTTTATTATACAGGTGGATAAATTATAGTCATATTTGCCTTAAAAATACTCATTTTCAATATTTGTTGTATAATTTAATATTTCTGGAAGACTGTTCTTTAAACTGTTCAGATATTTTGATTTTTTTGTAAAAATATTTAAATACAAAAATCTGTGTTTTGACTAAAAGATATAAACTCTATATGTAGATATAAGGATGCATATTTTTGGAGGCTGAAGATTAAGTGAAATATATCTTTAGAATTTGGTTTACTATATCATTCATGTATCTTTCATGTTTGGAAAAGCATAAGATTTATGCTTATAACAAAATAAGATTTAAAAAAACCCCAAACGATAACAACAAAACAAGTTAACTCACAAATCCTTCAGTGAGTTCTGAGATTTGTAGCTTGGACTTGGGAGAATTCTGCTACTTGTTTATAAAATATCAATTGATAGAGGAAATTTAAATATAAATTGGATATTTTGACATTTCTTAAGATTAGTAGGGATTGGTATTTTGCTATAGATGAATAGATGGAAACTGTAATTTAGAAGTAGAATTATACATTAAGTACTTTTATGTGATACTTAAATGAGTACTTCAAATAGTAAGTGAGTTGGTATTTTTGCTTGTTGGTAGACCTTTATTTCATGCTTTATAGGTTATGCATTAGACATAAAAGTTGGCTGAATCTTAGACTAATTTATGGACATATATCATCATCTGCTATTCTTGTAATCCCCTATTTTAACTGCTTGGCCTTCTGAATTTTGTTTCATTTACTTGTTACACTGCATCAAAGTCATGCCCTGTAGCTCTTTTTTGAAATATTTTCTCTTAATAACAAATTTTTATGTTTTCTGACTGTCTAAACTGACTTTTAAAATCTGAATAA